TAAACACATTAGACTTTCTTAATGTTCTCAACTACTACCAGCCAGTATCTTATCAGCGAGTCATTAATTGTGTGGGAGAAATGTTTGACAGCACCGTGTATGATAGAGCTATATTAACTATACACTTCGTAATAATTCCAAAGCAAACACTTTCTGAAAATCCTGTTAACCATTACTCTTGTAAACATACTTTTGTAATCAAGCTGCCTTGTCCATAAAATATAATGAGGTGAAAAATACACAGCAGTTAATACATTCTCACCTTGGGGAACCCAGCTGTAATGAGACACACGCATATTCTGGGTATGACATATACCAACTCTTAAAACAGTTTCAAAAAGCATTAGTTTTTTTCTTTTAAGAAGGAATTTTATAGCCTAATTTTGTTACATCATAGTAGCAATCTCAGTACGTAGTTTCAGTAGGTATCTCAGCACATCAACTGAAAGCCACCAGAAAGTAATTTATAATGACACAGCCCCACCTCCAAATTCTTTGTTTTTGCTGGTGTTATGAGAGCTGGATGAAAAACGAGGAAACAACTTTATGAAAAACGTTCATGTTTTTTCCTTTTCATAGCAGTCAAAATGAACTGGGTTTTTTGTGTGAATATTACGCCATATATTTTAATCAAAATTATTATTTTTTTCATATTTGGAAACCATTTCGGTAAGTATTTTGGTAAAAAAATGTATAATTTTGCAAAAATGAAAATTTTTATAGTGACAATTTTTCACAAAAAGTTTGTTTTATTGGGGGCATGGGGAAATGCCATTTTTGTATAGAAAAACTTTTCATGCAAAAAACTTTGACCAGCTCAAAGGATAATATTTTCCCTGCCTTAGGCATTTTCCAAAATTGTGGTTTGTATGTCAAGGAATTTAGGTTTTTTTTTTGGTAATTGGACCTGTAGAGCTCTATGGGGCTGTGAGGTTTCTTGAGCGTGTTTGATTGTGCACCAGAAGAAGTTAACTGGTTGTACCTGACTGTTATCCTTAGTTCTTGACAAGTTTCTTCAGGAGGGGACAATTTCGCTGATGTGCTCGATAGCTGGTGCATGGAATGTAAAGCTGTGTCAACACCTGTAGATAGCTGTTCAAGGGATTTGAAGTCAGATAACAATCAGCAGAACAGGCTGCAAGGGTGAGCATAAATTGCCCAGTTACCATGGCATGTTACATGAAGACGAAAATTCTCCTTAGAGAAAAATGTAAGGCATGTTTGGAAGACCTTTATAGGCTTTGTAGCATATATCGTGATGGGCCTGGTGCCAATAATTTGGGAGAGACATGAGCCCCACAATAGTTACCCTAGAGACAGCGCTGTGGGGAAACAGCTTCAGTCATAGTTCAAGGCTGATGTCCTGCTGACAACTCATTCTGAGTCTTCAGTCCTGCAAGGTTACCTCAGGAATTTGGATGATTCTCAGGATCTCCTTTCTAAGGAGGTACTGTCAAGCAGTCAGGAGGCCAAGAGGTCTGATTGCAGGAGGCAACTCAACCAGAAAGTTGCCAGGGCAGTAAAGTTGGTGGTTGCGTGAGCTGGTTTGCCCATAGGAGAGCTGTCAATGTACAAGACCCCAAATAGGGAACATGAGTAAATGAATCCCTTAATAAAAATCTTGGTGGTGATATCTAAGAGACAGGTGATAAGAGTGCAAAGAAGTGGATTAGGTTACAAAAGGGTACTTCTGATCTTGATTGGCTGGTTCATGCCCATCTGAAGGGTGCTTTCATTGAGTTCCTGATTGCAAAGAAGTTCTTATCCTCATGGAGGGAATTAGATATTAAAACTTGGGGAGCTTGACAAAATACGAAAGGCAGCAACACAATAGAAAAGCACAGTTTTAATGGGACTGTTGTGCAGTATGTTAAAATGCCTGGTGGCTGGATAGACTGAAGTAATTTGGGATAATTCAAACCCGTTTGGTTGAGAGTTGCAAATTTTTCAGACCTGATATGGGTGTAGATATATTGCTGGCTCAGAGAGTACATGATGTGTCTTTATTACAGGTGGCCTGCCTTGACAAGGCCTGGGAGTACTTCCTAAAACGTTGAGCAAGGGGTTTGTTGGGAAAGACCAAGACTGTGAAAGAGGAAAAATAGGGACCGCATTTGGGTGTGTGGGGGTTAGGCAGCCCCCAGTAACAGAAACAAAATCATTTAAAAAGTCGATGGAAGTACAGAACTTCTGTCTTTGCATGTTCTAGAGTAAAATGAGAGGGGTTAACAAGCAAATAGTACAAGCATATAGGATATTGGAACAAAAAAGGGAGATTAGGTTGTTGGGGACAAATGTATGAGCGATAACCATATTAAAATTGGCAGTACACGAAACGTTACCTGTGTTGGTTATCCGTATCCAAGGCAGGGAGAACGTAGTGGCAGAATACTTGTTGGGGAATGAAACAATAAGGTCTCTGTTCAGCAAAGCACTTAAATACGTGCATCAATCCCATTACAGTTAAGGAGGTGCTTAAGAACTTTGTTAAATAGACATGGCTTGGTGAATCGGGATCTGGGTGCATAGTATGAGACCTTCCAGAAGTTAGTTTAGAAAGGGGGTATTCCAGTGGTAGCTCTGTCTTGGTTTGGTTTTGCTTTTTTGTCAGCTGCAATCAGAACTTCAGCCTGTGAAGCTTTCTGTTAGGTGCTGCTCTTTCTGTTAAGAGACTTTCTAGTAGGTTTGGGTAAGTTTCAAGACATAATGAAAGTGTGAGAGGAGAGGGTGGGTGAGATATTATCAGTCAGTCAGTCATTCCCTGATGCAGGCTTTCAGGCACCGATTCTTGTCAAAAGGATGAAAACAGGCCACCAGCACAGCTTATGACAGACCTTATACCTTTAGGGAGGAAAGACCAGAGAGATTTCTGTGGAAGGAATGGATAAGCTGCCAAATTCCACTCTATTTCTACCAACGTAAGGGCTTGATCCTAAACGTTGAAGTCAGTGGGAGCAGGATCAGACCCTAAATCTGAAGTAATTCCACTGACTTTTGTAAAGTATTGCAGAGGTTGTAAATCAGGGCAGAATTTGAATCTTCTCCATTAGACCTTTCAGGCTAGAAAAGGTGGAGCCTCACCTACTGTAAATCATTTGCCTTAGCCATAGTTTCAAGTTTTCCTGCATGTTCCACAGAAAGGAATATGTCTGTTAACTGCAAAATATTCAGCGTGTGCAGGAGATTAGTATTTGACTGTCTCTTTTAACGCTGGCTAGATAAAGAGGGGAATATACTACATCAGGTTAAACTGGTGTGTCTGTTAGCGCTCACCTGGGCGTGCTGAGCTTTGAGGCTACATTTCTAAGGGTTTGAACCATGAGTGAATCCTATAGAATTTGAGATTTTATTGAATGCAAGAACTAAGTCTCCATCTTTCTCAGAACCAGTTTTGTTATATTTAACAAAGGCGCCTGGAAAAGGGCGTTGTTCTAGGATAGGTCTAGGATCAGAGAGACTGGTAGATAATTTATTACAAGTGTATTCAGTGGGACCTTTAAAGCCTGCTGGGCTTGATACACTTTGATCCTAGAATGGTGTCCATGACAGGACTGTCTGGTACTGATAGAAATAAATAATAAATGTGGGTTAGTTCACTCAGAGAATTGTCTCCATCGCAAGTAAAGAGCAAAGCAGTAGATCTCCTACTCATCTTGGCAATAGCTAGGTAGTATGGAGTAAGGACATTTGTGTAATGTTAATGAATGCTGACTGGTTTGGATAAATATGAGCTGACTTGCAACACCGCTCCTAAAAGAGGCTATGTTCCACCCATACATCAAGTAAGAAGAATGCGGATTCAGTAGTCCTTCTGTATGAGACAAATGACTTATTTGAATTTGGTAATGCTGCTTCTGATCAGCCTCTGCTCAGTAAAGCACTTAAGCATGTGTTTAAGTCATGTTTACGTCAATGGCACTTACTGTAAAGCACAAACTTACGTGTTTTGCTGAATACAGATGGACTTAATCTCATACTTAAATAAATGCTCGGCTGAACTGCAGCTATGGAGAGGAATTCTGAATTGCCCCTACACTTGCAATTTCTAAAGCTGCCGTAATTGAATTATGAAGCATAGTTTTTTATCCCACCTATTATGAGACTGCGTAATGGTGATGGTAACCTAAAGAGAGGGATATATTCAGATAGGCCTGAATCTGAACACCAGATTTCAACTATCCTGAACTTTGGGTAAGTTCAGATTCAATTCTAAATGTTGTGACTCAGGCCTATCTCTGTAGTGTGTTGACCCAAAACACCCGCATTGTTTTGAGAAATTTGGATCAATCTGATTCTAGATGTCTAAAACTCACCAATAATGTGTTCTGTGGAATCTCTAGATATCAAAAGGGAATCACAGGAAGCAAACATCTTCCTGAGGCCAGGATTGGTTATCTGTCATGTGCTGTGGAAATTGTGGATATGGGTCTGCTTTAAAAAAAAAAGGAAATACTTGTTTGGGTCGTGCAAACTCTGTTTTCCATTGCTATATAAATAATATTTTATACCTTCGCTGTATTTAAGATAATAGAGAGAAACTGGTAGGGAAAACTGCTAGTTAAACAGCTTATGGTGTGTGTTTGGAAAATGTGAATAAACTATGTGTTTTTTCTAAGGGTGTTTTGATCTATTCTGTCCCATTTCATAACACTTACGCCATTTGAGCGTAAGGAATATGGAAGAGACGGTCATATGCTTGAAACACTTCTTGTATAGCTTTCACCTGATGTCCTAAGATGGGATGTATTTATCTGTAAATCCAGCAGGGAAACGTGGCTAAGGGTATGCCCATTTGAGAAACAGAAGACTTGATTCAATGAAGCTCGGTACTTTTGCGAGGCGCTGAGCACCCTCAGTTCCCTTTTGAATTCAGTGAGATTTGAGGATGCCTTGGCACCTAATTGGTCCAGAATGGTTAAATTTGTCAGTACCATAGGAATTGGTTCTTCACCCGTTTTTACAATATTATTTTTCTGGTTGTGTTTCAATCCCAATTGTAGGACATTACAAGCTTGCTTCATACCATCTATGAGGTAGTTGATGCATCAGTAAACCACTCCCCTAGTTCCAGTAAAACTCTGCGAGTGAAACTTACTGTGGCACCTGATGGAAGTCAGAAGAAAAAGAGTATCTTACTAAACCCTGCTGGTAAGCACATTCTATATTGCCCTGTGAAATATTGCTAAAATGTTTCCCCTCAAAGATTTCAGTTCACATTTCCTAGCAGAAAAATCAGTTATAGGGACACCTGAATCAAGAGCAACTGATTCTGGGCATGTTGTAATTTCTAACTGCCCACTGGAGGCCTCAGATGTGGATGCTCTAACTTAGGAGTCTGTGTTTGAAATTCATCGTTTCATTTGGTTTGATTATTTCTGATTCACAGTAGTTACAGACTACAAGCTACATGAAGGCTTTGTCTACACTAGAAAGTTGTACCACTTTAACTATGTCAGTATAGTTAAAGTGGTACAGTCCTCCTAGTGTGGACACCGTTATATTGATATACAGGTGCTTTATACCAATATATCTATTCCTGTATGGGAAAAGGAATAACTATACCAGTATAAAGCAGTTTTATATCAGTGTAACTGCATCCACACTATGGTTTGGCTGATATAAATATGTTGGTTTAAAAAAAATTACACTCCAACCAAAATAGTTATACCAACACAGCTTTCAAGTTTAGTCCAGGCCTTAGGAAGCCAACAGGAGAAAAGAGAACTACATCACTGCACCTTAGATGCATGCTATACAATATGTAGAATCTGTTTAGCCCTTCTAGTTAATCAGTAAATACTTGCTAATGATACAGTCATGACTGATGTATATTGATCAGTTTAAGTACAAATATTGGACAAATACTGTCATCAGATGCACAAGGGTGACTCCCTTAGCCCTCTGGGGGCATTGTGGGCAATAGATTCTGCCTATCATGTGTAATTCTAACATTCTTTCACATTAAAGAGTTACCAGGGCTTGTCCACACAAAAGTTACACTTCTTTAACTATACCAGCACCAGCCTAGTGTAGTGGCAGTTATACTAGTATAAAGATGCTTCTACCGGTATAGCTATTCGCATACAGGAAGGGGAATAAGCTATATCAGTATAAGACACCTTTCTAGTAGTATAAGTGTCTCCATGCTCATGGTTGTACCAATATAACCACACTCTTCACCAAAACAGTTATATCAATGCAAAAACTTTGGGTACACTAGGCGCCAGAGTATGATCTTGATTTAAACTAGTAAGATAACATTTCAAAAGCACCTTAAGTGACTGAGGAGCCTAAATCCCATTGACTTTCAGTGGGATCATAGGTACTTTTGAAAATGTTCCCCCTAGGAACCTAAATGATTTGGGCACCCAGCTCCCATTGAAAGTGGATAGGACTTAGGCTCCTAACTCATTTTGTCACATTTGACGATTTTATCCCTAATGAGGTATTATGGATTGGTGCAAACAGCAAGCTAATAATGAATATCTATGCACTTCTGCACATTTGCCAGACAGAATGATATCAATAATATGAAATAACTTTCCTTTTTGGGAGTGCAGATTTGCAGAGCTCTAGGCACAGAGCTGAGAGCAAAGCCAGTGAAGAGCTGAGAAGCTCTGAAAAGAAGCAGCGGGCTTCTCTCAGGTAAGTGGAATGAACTCTTCATCTACTCAAAGGAAGGAATCTCTGAGCTGGCAATGGGCCAACCTCAAAAGGCTTCAGCTGCTGATATTTTAGTCAGAGGAATCATGGGAATTTTCACCTGGAAACAAACAGCAAATTCCATGGGATTACTACTGAAGTAGTACTAGTGAAGTGTGGCACCACTGGCAGCTAGTGCCAGAGTCTATATCCAGAGTCTTCCCATGGAAGCCTAGGAAGCTAGCTTTAGTGAAAGATGTTATTTATGTCTCTAGTTTCTAGCCATACAAGCTTTTCTTTACAATCGCCTACCTCTGAGAACCTATTGGAAGGTTTGGGTGAACATTTCACTTAAAAAAGCATCAGCTGAGCATCTCAATAAAAGATGTCTTTGCTTGTGTTTGGGCAAAACGATACATTAACCTTCCCATCCCCCCTTGCTGCAGTTTCCACCCCTCCCCTACCACAGTCTGTTTTTCTTTTCCCTTTGTGCTATCCAGCTATTCTACAGAATGCTTGGGCAGGGACCCTGTTCTCTTACATGTCATCTGTTATCACCATCCAGTCCAGTGGTGCTTTATACAAAATGAGAGAGAATCTTAAATAGAGAAATTAACATTGAATAGTGATTGCTGTGGAGCCTTATCTCCCTTCAGGTTTACTTAGGCCACATTAAGAAACATGATTCCATTAGACGAAGGAAAGATGTGATCATATTTTAAAACCCCACCACCAATTCTAGGTGCTCTTTTAATGGGCCATGGTCACTAGGGTTGTCAGCAGCGATTGAGCACCCAGGCCCAGATCCTCAAAAGTATTTAAGTGTCTAACTCCCATTACTTTAAGTAGGAGATAGATGCCTAAATACCTTGGGGCTCTGGGCTCCAAAGATGAAGCCCCTACTACTTAACGATTAAGTTTATTAGCTGCAGCTAAGTAGCAGGCTTTTACCCACTATGTGGGCCAGCCACTGGACCAACACATTCATTTCTATTTCTATATATATAAAAGTGCCTTTTCCAGGCACTGGCCTCATAAGCAACTTCTAAGAACGCAACCTGGTTTCAAAGAACAACAAGAAAACTGAACCACCATAACAGCAAAAGATACCAGCTGTCTGAGGTGAGGAAAAACTCCCACCCTCTCCAGCCATGATCATGTGCACTTAACCAGCATATCACATGTTCAGGTGTTTGAGCACAGAGGGTCGCTGACTTCATTAGTTCACACAGAGGTACTGAAGATAAATACAGTTTTTCCTTCCCTTTCCAGTCTGCCCAGAAGGACCCATGCCTCCCTTCAGCTTCTTCTGCTTAGTGGGCTTGTGTCTGAATTTAATTTCCTCCCCTCAACTCCATCCCCTGTAAGCACCAGAAGACGGCTTCCCCCCAGTGGGCAGACAACTTCCAATCTATCTCTGCCCTTCTTCCAGTCCTACCTCTTCATTAACAAACACTGCCAGTTCTAGTCCTTGCTAACACCTTGTACCACATCCTGGCCTGAGCTCCGAACCCGGCCTGCCCCTCTTCTGCTACCCTCCCAGCCTAAAATAAGCAGGTGGGAACTGGCAGTAGAGAAGGGGAAAACCTCCAGGCAGAAGGAAGGGAGGGGAGGGGTTCTTAGCAGAGGGGCAGGCAGAGTTATTTCCTCTAAGACACTCCCACCCATCCTGTCTCCCAGCAGCCAGAAAAAATTCCTCCTCCTTGCCACAGGGTCCCCTTGTGAACACCTAGCCCCTTAGGAAACTAGCCAGTCACTGGGTAACATCCACCTACAGATTAGCAAGATTCACAAGGGTTGATGCTTTCACTGTAAATTTTCAAGGAAAATTAGCATGAGGGTGGGGGGATTTGTTTTTCAGTCTCAAGATGCCCTTCACCACTTGAAAAAAAAATTGTCTGTTGTTTTTTTGTGGATTCCTGCCTGTGTGACTCAGGGTGCATCCATTTCCAATGAAGTACAGACACAGTAGTTTCTTTATGCACAGCTGCAGGTACGGTTGTAGCCTTTTAGAGATAAGATAAAACAGACCTATTTGAAGTCTCTCCCTGAAGGAATGCACAATATTAGTTTGGATGCCAGTCTAGAATAGGCCTTGTTCCTCTGCAAATGTCTAGTCATGTCATTGGCAAGGTTAGCGAAAAGAAGCACATATTTGCCCCATTTTCACATCTTCCACCTGCCTTATAGACAAATGCTGCACTGAACATCAGAATATGTGATAGTTGAGACAGATCTGTCAAGGGCAGATTTCAATGTGTATCTTACTTATTTTATTTGTACAGCGAACAAAAATGCTCCCCTCGTAATTCAGTGTAGAGTGTTATTTCCATTGTTCAAATGGGTAATTAAACAAAAAATCTATAATCCTGTAATTTTCGTATCTCCTAATATAGATCCACTGCTTTGGAGAAATCCTCTCTATGGTCACTGTATATGTTTGTGTTAGTATGAAGTTGTCTTAACATTCAAGCTAGGGCAAAAGGGAACGTTAGTTGGGGCTGAAGTGCCATCAACACAATAGTAGTGATTGTTTCTTTGGCTGCAAAGAAAAAAAGTTCTAGTTTTGTGCTTCCTTGACTTCAGGAGAATTTTTCTCAGGGGGATGTACAAATATGCCAGCCAGGGGGAGTGTTCAGGTTCATTGGTGGGGGGCGTGCGAGACCCCAAAAAGCAACTGGGCCTCCCAATTCTGGATTCGACAGAAATACTCCATAGCAGTGGATCCAGATTCAGAGATCAAAATTACAGGCAAGAAAACAAATTCTGCCTTTTTACCTGTGACTCCATACAAATTGTTTTTAGCACAAAGGTCTCTCTGGGCTCTTGGATGAATACTTGAGCAGGCAGTTCAGGGTGGAATTCCCCCCCTTGCAAATTCAAGTCCACTGTTATTTGCTTAGTAGTTTGAATGTATTTGCATGAAGAGACATCTTAGCTGACTTAAGATGTAGAGCCCATAACCTGTTCAAAAGTTGTTCCTTCATCTGAATTGAACAAGGTGCTGCTTCTGAATAAGACAGGGCTGTATTCTGAATGTCAACTAATCCCATTTCAAACCAGCAGTCATACTTGCACCAAATGTGTTTTCTATGGGGCAGATTCTCGGCTCTGCTCCCTTTTTGCCCCTCTGCCACGGGATGCAGATGGTCCCTTGGGTACCATTGCCAGCAGGTTCATGTTAGAGCCTTCCTAGGCAAGTCTAACCAGTAAACAGGGCTAAGCAGAGCATCAGGCACCCAACACTGAATTCCCGATAATCCCCTTTCTTTGCTACACCCTGCCAAATGTGGACACAGCAAAGAATCTGACCCTTGTGTCTGTTGCAGGAATGAGCCCCAAGTTTCTGTTCAACTTGGTCAAATGGCTAAGCTTGTGAAAGTCTTCCTCATGTTCATCAGTGGCAAGCGGGTGAATGTGGGGGCTCTCCTTTGGAGTTGCAATGAAATCATGTATTAGATGCATATATTTTCATGATTTCAGTCTCCTGGGAATTACAGGCAAGATTCTATTAATATTCAAGATGAAGCTGACAGGGATATCCCTGCCTTTAAGGTGGGGAAAGTATTCTGGGGGTGGGATTTCAAATGCTGGAAGCTATGGGCTAGAGCTTCTACCTGTAGTGCTTATGCAAGTATTCAGATCAAGTATCCAGATTTATGGTTGGTTGACCCAGCATCTCTCTCATAATAATAATAACACTGACAGCGAGAACACCATTGGCTGTGTTAATGCCATCCCATTTCTGTTGTTGTGTATACTTGCTTTTGGGCAACAGGGAAAAATACTTATATAAAACAAGGCTCTGAAATATCTTTCCCCTCTCCCACAGATACACAGGTTTCAGAGTAGCAGCCGTGTCAGTCTGTATTCGCAAAAAGAAAAGGAGGACTTGTGGCACCTGAGAGACTAACCAATTTATTTGAGCATAAGCTTTCGTGAGCCACAGCTCACTTCAAATAAATTGGTTAGTCTCTCAGGTGCCACAAGTCCTCCTTTTCTTTTTTCTTTTCACAGATACACAGTCTCCTTTGGTACATATTGGCTTTTCCCCCCTCCTCTTCACCCAGACCTTTTAAGCAATTTAGCCCTGGCTTGTTTAAATGTCACGTTCTCTCAGACTGCAGCTTTCAGGAAATGTCCTTTGCAGTTTCCTGACCTACACATTCTTGCTGCTGTATCCCCCGTTCTGTTATATAATGGCAGAACTCCTCATCGTAATGACGCTTCAGAGTTTCAGAAAAGGGTTTCACGTACTGTTCAAAGGCATTAGCAAATGTCTCTTTCTCAGACCCACACATTCTTATATCCTGCAGAAGATTAGAATCAAGTGTTTGATGCCTGAATGCTTCCATGTATGTGCAAAGGAGCAGGCAGGGGATGGATGCCAGAAGCTCCAATGGTCAGAAATACTTGAAGTTCTCCTTGGCAGTGGGACACATCTCTCATCAACATGTAATTGCTTCACTGTGTATATTTGCATTGTTGAATGTCATCTTACATGTAAGAAAGCTGTTAGAATTCAGGGCTGCGATGGTACTCGCGTAATTTTTCCCCATTGTCTCAATGAGGGATGGAATTCATTACAGTACCAAAAAAACTGGTTCCCAGGTAGTTCCGTTTTATACAGTTTTATACAATGATGCTGAATTGTGCTGGACCAGAAACAGTTATTCCTACACTGTATGAACCATACAGCACCTTCGCTGCATGCATGCAACTTCCATTGATCTCCACGAGCTGTGGCGGGTCAGCCACAATATATGGCACTTGTATGCCAAATTGTAGCTGCTGAAACTCTTTGATTTGTGTTCCTACAAGTTAAACTGCCATAATTGTAGACTTCCACAAAGATCCAGATGAGGTTCATATGGTGTATGGGCTGATTAGTTATCAAAAACAGAAAAAGCCTGGTAGTTTCCTGTTCCAGTTCTTTTTGACATGCTAGTACAGTGGCTTCTGTCACTTCCAGTGTGTAAAGATTCCATATTCAAAACCTTTTAAGTTTCACGGCTTTCCACGCAGGCAGTGTTACATGCAAGAATATTTGCATACATTAAAGCCATGTAAACTTAATCCTCCAAATGAATCTAACACCCTGTGATAGATTGGGGATTTTTATTAAGGCGTCTCTCTTGGAGATCCCTACTGAGACACCAACCTCATACAGGGCGCAATCCTGCAGGCTGCAAGGTGCTGAAAGATAAAGCTTAAATGCTGTGCTGAATTGGGGCCTGAGCACTCAACACCATGCAGGACTGAGCCCTTTTTTGGAACCAGCCTGAAATCATGGCCTTCCACTGATATAAGTAGGGTTTCCCGGGAGGTGTAAAGGAGAGCAGAAGCCATCCCAGGGTCTCAGAGATGGAAGTGCCTCCCTGAATGATAATCCGTGATTTAATCAAAAAAGTGTTTTCCTCATCCCATTTGTTGCAATAGAGAAATTGTTCACATCTGGACATGGTGAATTAAACTGTTGAGCATTGTTGGCTACAGTATTGTAAGCCCCTGCTTGACTTTTTTTCCCCTCATAAACAAATGGTATTTCAGATATTCATTCTCAGGAAATAGTTCTGCTATAAATAAAGTTGCAAAGCTGAGCAGGAAAAGGAGTTGGGATTATGAAGCCAGAGGTTGATCTGACTTTATTAAACGTATTTTGGCAAAAAGCAATGCATTATCTCAGATTTTTTTCCACTGACACCTTCTCCCCCAGTGTCTCGCTAGTAAATACACCTGCCTACGTCCCTAAAGTGGAAGCACATGAACATTTAGACCATTTATCTAACACCAGGTTCATTCCAGTGCCTCCCTGCAGAGCTGGGAAAAGCCATGTCAAACAGCAGACTTTCCTTGGCATGCCCAGATTAGCGAATGTATTGAATGGTTTGGCCCAACCACAGAGACTATGCCGTATGTAATAAACCCTCACAGTGTTTTTATCTGCTTTGGCATGAAGCAGATTTGAAAGTATCCCTTGTTTTGCAATATCATGGAATCAATGTACAGCCCTGCATAGACACTCCTTTCCCTCCTATACAAGTAGCCCCTGGCACATCCAGAACATCAGACATTTGTTGTGTCTCTTTGCAAGTAACTCCCAGCATTTCAAAGTGTCCCTTAACTTTTGAATGTGAGGCGGCAGTAACAACTTGAAGAAGCTTTGCTGAATTTTCATTTTGCTTCCTGCCCACAGATATCACCCCGGTGACAACAACCCTGAGCAGAGTGGGTGCTATCGCCATTGCGTGGATGAGAACATTGAAAGGAGAAACCACTATTTGGATCTTGCAGGAATAGAAAACTATACATCAAAATTTGGACCAGGTAATATAGGAATTGATTTTTCACACTTTTGTCCCAGGTCCGTCTTCAGCTACACGGGCCGAATTGGGCCCACTGAATTTAGAAATAATGAGTATGTTGTGTGATTGATCCATCGCTGTTTACTGGAGATGGGCTTGGAGAGCATTCTTCAGATCCAGTTTATTAGGTTTAGACCGGGGCAAAATCAGGGCTAGGCTTCGGATGATGCAGGCCACATCTGAGCTGGAACCAGAAAATAGTTGCTTTCAGATTTTGGGATCCAATCCAGAACCAGCACCCCCAGATTCAAAGGGATTTGGATTGCAGTTTTGCCCTGCCTCTGTGTTTTACTGTACCAGATGTCATCATTTTGATACAATGTAGACGGACGTCCAAGAAGGAGAGTTTGTCAGAATAGAGAAAGTGTCAGAGCTGGGGCATGGGTAGCTTCTCCTAAGGGATGGCATTGGGTGCAAGCCAAGTGTCCAGGGCCCAGGAGCCAATTACCAAGAATCAGGCCAAATTGGAACACTAGGAGATCAGAATCAAGAGACAAACCAAACTGCTCAGAGACCCTCGTGCTGGTCAAACATCTTGTGTAGTTTATTTACAATATGGGGTCCCACCACCTTCATTCTGTATACAGCTCTGCTCTAACTGTCCTAGGGAGTCCCCAGCTCCTGCAACAAGCAGCGAAGGGTAATCTCTGTCCTCTCCGTGTTGCCTGCTTTTCTGCCTTCTACTTCTTTCCTGTGCCTATTTGTAACCTCTGCCTAATGGCTTAATTAGCCTGCCAGTTCTGCTCCCCCCACAAATTAGGCACAGCTCTGTTTAACCAACTCCATTCTGCATTGTTTGATTGGAGCTGCTGTGACCAGAGTGCTGGCTCAACCGTTCTTGCCCAGCACTCTGTCACAAAGACTTATGCAACTTTTTCTAAACAGCTACGGGTATAATTATGTTCACTTCCCGAGGAAAATTCCACTCTGCCGATAAACTTAACCCTGCCAAATGCATGCTGCTAATTAAAATTTGAAATATTAGATGACTAACTCAGTTTGTTCTTTTCTAGGATCTCCTCCAGCAGCTCAGCAATATGACCCACCAAATAGAGTTGTGAATCAGACTAGATCCCGCTCTCATGAACCTGAAATCTTCCATGCCCACCATAGGAAATCTCAAGTGGTGGACCCCAGCCACATCAATTTGGCTGATGCCTCATACGCCAAGATTGCAGAAATACAACAAAAGCTGCGCAATCAGGACTCAAACAAGCACTTTGTTAGGTCTCCCAAGGTCCAGAGCAAAAATGTAGGCTCTGTTCACCCTGGAAGGGCAGTAAGGAATAAACCTCTTCAAGGGGCATCCATGCCAATGGCTTCCCCATCTGCACGGGTGGGCCAGAATCTTCCTTACCTCCCCATGCAGTCCCAGCAGGCTCACAAGAAACATAAGCAGAGGGCAAAGGAGAATCATCACATGTGCAAAACCTTTCATTCTCCGGGGACAGTTGTGGAAAAAGAGCAGGTGAGAGACCTGCCCACAGTCATTTTGTATGAAGGCCAAGTTGGACAAATGATCCAGAGACATGAACACCATCACCATCATGAGCATCACCACCACTATCATCACTTCTACCAGACATAAAACCGATCCCAACATCCTCCAGGAATCCCCCCCATATGAAGGAAACGCCTTCCTGTGACTTCAGACTAAGGCATTATTATGTTTAATATTATTGTTACTCTGTTAATATTCAGCTAGCGTATATTTTAGAAATTATATGAAACCATTGAAACTTACACTATTTATATGTTGTGAAACTGCATAGCTTACTTAACAACTTGTTGATATTGGTTTTTAAGTGGCTTGTAAAACAGCAAACAGCCATAGCTTTCTGAGCTGTGATTTAATGCAGGTCATCAACGCACTTCCTTTACAAGTACTTCCTTTGTTGTATTAGAAAAAGATACTTCAAACAACACTGCAGACATCTAGCTTACCAGTCTGCCATGTCGGCTTATTGCACACAAGCCTCTTGTCAGGGGAGCAGTGTTTGAAGGTTTGGACTCCGGAAATACTCAGAATAACAGAAAATACAAACAGCGGCTACCTCTAGTATTATTCAAATTTTCTTTTCTTTTTATTGATTGTAATGTGCTACAAGGGGATTTTAATATACTGCCTTCATGTAGCCTGTTTGTGTTGTACTTTCACATCTTTTCAAGCTATCTTAATAATTACAAGGAAACATCAGCTATATTTGTCAACAGAGCTACATTTTACAACTGATATTTTTTTTTTCCCTTCAAGGTTCTTTCCTGACTCCAGTCCAGTCTGTTAGATGTTGAGGAGTGTTTAAATATACGTCCTTTTTTCTTTTATTTACTCTCCATTCTGCACTGGGAAACCATCTTAGAGGAAAGAAAAGAGGTGGATGTGAAATGGGGTTTTTCAAAACCATCACTAAACCTTAATGCTTGGGCCATAACTACCATTCATTGTTTTGTTTTGTTTTTCTTTGTTTTGAGAAAGGATTGGAGGAAAATATACTTTCTCACTTTAAATGTTGGCAAATATATATAAAAATATAAATAGATAAATATATATATATATATACACACACACACTCTCAGGTACATTTTCTTGTGTTTTAGAAATCTGTGGTTTGAATATTAACATTATTTTTTTCTTACAGCAGTGACTTTTTAGGTATGTTATATAACACATAACCCATGGCATTTTCTTGGGTGCCTGCAATTTGTGTTTCCCCAACACCTACAGCGTTGCTCTGCTCCTTTTGTAAAGACAATTCAACATGTAAAGAATGCTGCTCGCAGTCATTCTGGCCTCTACCACTCTTTTCATATCAAAGGGCTTCCATTCCACAAAATAAAATGAGGTGAGACCTATGAGACCATCATTGGCTGCTGAGAAATTTAAAGGTCAAATGCAATTGGGAAAAAGTGTGACAAAAAAGCCAGTAAATCCGAGTTTTGCTTTCTCTGAGGCTCAGATTTATAGGACATTTGTACAGTGCAGGCAACAGTGACTAAATAGCAACTGCTCCATTGCTTTTGGAACTAAAAAGTAGAGTTCTGATCACATAAAAATGTAACTGCTCTATCAAACATATTTGCTTTTGGTTTTAGTTTCTTTTAATTATTTGTGTGTTTTGTCTACAATGTATTGTGTGAAATGTTACTATCCCCCATTTTTAAGGGCCCTTTATGAATAGGGCATGTTTTGTTGCAACTACAGTCTTGATCAGTTCAAGATGGGAGATTTCCCTGCTGCTGAGCATTAAAACTGTTAGAAGGATACTGTCCTAGGGAAGGACACAGAGACATCAGCATTTAAAGAAAACAATATGGAAAGCCTTGCCTGCTTGTGGAATTGGAGAGGAATCACTGCTTGTGGGCAATTAGTTCTATCTCATTTATCCTCAAATCAGCAGTTGTTTAGACTTATTGTCCCTTTTAAAAATCTGGTTTATTTTAATTTCTTTTTTAGACGTCGACATTGTGTTCTGTTAAATCTAGCAAAATGTTTTAAAGTGTGTTTGATCTGTGTGCCAACTATGCTGTTCTGTTTATTTTTTAAATTCCTAAGTCCAAAAATATTTATATGCAGAATTTTCTGTACTGAAAATATGAAAAGGCCACAAATTTGGTTAGTTACCACTGAGTTGTTCTAGTCTAAGCCTATTTTGCTGCTTGTGTATCATTCTTTTTCAATGTATATATAATTATGGACTGCAAAAAAAGGCATTTACGTGTCTAGTAGAAGGAATAAGCTTATTTATATTATAGTGTTAACGAAGTCTGATGTATTCAAGTGACTTATGTTATACCGCATGCAAACACACAAGTGTACATTCCATCTGAAAAGGGGTGCCATGCTATCTGTTCCTGAGATGTAAATGATGCTGTTCTCTTTTCAGCAGCGTCTTTGCCAGCATTCTGCAATGTTAACAAAAGGAAATTGTTGTTTTTTTAAAAATACACAGATCATTGCTGGCCAAAATATTGGAAATCTAGAATATATTCAGTATGCTTCAAGCAGGGGCTTGGGAGAGGGAGGAATGTAGAATGGGCAAGAATTGCTCTAAAACCCAAAGATATTCTGCCAGAAAAGATAACAGCAGTCGTAACAAACTCCCGTCTAATCTAAACACGTCCCAAGTTAAGACCAGTGAAAGTGGACTCTTAGAACAGCGAATCACAATTGACCATAAGCCACAACTTTTAACCTGATTTATTGTTTGATATCCAAAAGACAGACTCTGCTTTGCTTATATTCTGTGAAGTACAAGTGAATTCTAATAACATGGCATCCCCACTGAAAAAATTTGCACCAGCCACATACGAACACATAGTAGCTCAATACCGTGTTGCATTTGTGTTACACGCATCAAGTGTGAATAACTGCTCGAGCAGCACAGGCTCTTTTCACAGAACCCTAAGTTTCCGTATCTTTTAAAAATGTTTGCTTTTCAGTATTTTGTATAGTAAATAGAGATGGTTTTGACTAAATGCTTTATTTATTTAATAGCAAAAACTGTGCCAAGAGAAACTCCTGTTAATTAAAGTTTTACTAGTTCAGAAAATAACTTTTTGGGGGTCTTTTTTGTGGATTTCAGTGGCACACTGCGATTGCTGCCAGGGCCTACAGATCAGGGAATCGCACTGATGGAAGGGCCCCCGTTACCATTAATGGGAACAGCGTTGGGCCATAGAGAATGGAGAGTGCATGCTTGGGTTTATATTTAAAATATTTAGCCTCAACATTCAAATTTCCTATCTCCTACAAATTTCAGGCAGGCAAATTCTGAAAACAAAGAAGCTCAATGTTCTTGTCACTCCTTTGCTTAATAAAAAGTAAAAGAAGCTAAGAAGATATCAGGTCTCATCTTAGTCCACTGAACGCCTGTTGATTTTGATGCGACCAAGATTTCATGCCAAGAGTGTGGGATTAGAATCTCCACCGTGCAGACAAATCTTTTCAGTATCTACTTTTCTGCTTCCTTCTTTTGATAGTTTTGGGAGTGATTAATAATTTTAAATTAAATGTATAGGAAAACCAGGCTCATAATTTTATTAAGAACAATAATAGTGCTTAGGTACTTCATTGGAGCATTTCATCAGAGGTTCTTAAAGTGCTTTGCCAACAAGCCTCACAACATCCAAACATCTTCCAGGCACAAACAAACGTAAGGCCAAATTCTTCCCTCAGATGCTGATGTACAGCTCTCACTGGCATGCTGGCAGAGCGGACCCTTTAGGAAAAAAATGAACAGGAAACCATATAATCTTTGACTCCGTGACAGACTTGCTACCTTAATGATCGCTAGTGAAGGGTACAGCAGGATGTTAATAGAAAAAACTCCTGAACAAGAACAAAAGCATTTCTGGTCATTTTAAGAAATGTCCATTGCTGGAAATTAAATAGTGTATGCCTCATAGAGGACACTCAGACAAAAATGATAATTTTGACACATTAGAAGTTAAGACATGGGTAACCCTTTTACTTGAGGACTTGTCTATTGCCATCACACACAGTAAATGCCTAATATCATCCACAGATAGCTGTGCACCTCCCTGGTTTACTGAGAGCCATATTTCATCCATTGTTCCAAAGGAATGGGGAAGTGACATCACCATGGCTTTGTCTACACTGGGAAAATGCAGTTAGAAAACATGTTAACTAACATGATATTAAATATGATTTAGTCCATAGTGTAGACACGCATAGTCAGAAATGTGCTAGTTGGTCATGGTTAACCCAAAGGGAGTCTCTAGAGTTAATCAAGACCAAAAATTACATTTTCATGTCTACACTGGATGCTAAGTCATATTTAACATCACATTAGTTATAATTCCACATTCCAACATAATGCAATATTCCAGTATAGACATTGCCAGGGATTTCTGATGGGTATAATAGGGCCCTTTGAGTTTATGCACTTATTGCAGTAAAACTGACCGCTTTCCTTGTGGGGAGGAGAGGGTCTATAAAGTGCACCCAAACACAAACCAGTTTGAAAATCCCTTGCATAAAAACAACTTGGAGAGAAAATAAATTGAATTTACTTTCTGGGATTAGATTTCCCAGCTTCTCCATTGCTCCTATATACAACACCCAGATTTGATTTATCACGTGATGATTTTTTCTCTGCAGAATTTGACTGCTGATGAATTAATTTGACATGGGAAGGGTATCTGTGTCTTTCTGCTTTGCATATCTGGTTTAGGTGGTCAGAGAATTGGAGCTAGACTGGACTGGACACCAGATAAGTGAAATAACTAAATTGATAATTTGTGCAGTAGATATTAAATTGTATCTCGTGTGTGTTTTGGATCATGGTTATTAAATAATGTCAACCATGCTCTAATCTTTTTATATTTCCAGCTAATTCATTTCTACGGAACGAAATAATGGTGATTATTTGTATTAGATATTTTCATTTATTTGTTTTAGATCAAAGGATTTATGAGATACATGGATGGATTATTGTGTGGGGCTAGGAAGAGAGATTGGGAAGCAACGCATAGGGAGATCTTAGAGGAAACAAGAGTAGATATTAACCAGAGGGGGGGAAAAGATGGAAGGAAAGGAAAGCATTGTCTGAAGACTATTGTATGCACAGTATCTTATTGAACGTTGTATGTTACAATGTGTATGGCTCACAGTTACAATAATACCTAAGTCTTACATAATGACAGGTTTCAGAGTTGCAGCCGCGTTAGTCTGTATTCGCTAAAAGAAAAAGAGTACTTGTGGCACCTTAGAGACTAACAAATCTATTTGAGCATAAGCTTTCGTGAGCTACAGTAGCTCATGAAAGCTTATGCTCAAATAAATTTGTTAGTCTCTAAGGTGCCACAAGTCTTACATAGCATTTTTCATCAGTTGATCTCAAAGCACTTTACAAAGGTGCTAAGTATCATTATTCCCAGTTTATAGAAGGGGAAACTGAGGCACAGAGCATGGCAGTGACTTGCACAAAGTGGCAGAGCTGGAAATTGAACTCACGTCTTCTGAGTCTCAAACCAGTGCCCATTCCACATGGGATTTTTTAGCAGAGGATGTGTTTCAACAAGTCTTTTGCAAACTTCTGTCTGAATAGCAGCCCCAGTACCTGGCAAACTCCTTAGAAAGATGTGCACGGTCATTTCACAAAGGGGAGACAGATATAGATGCCTAAATCCTGATATTTTAAAGTGATGAGCACTGGCCCCTCCCATTGCAGCTAGGAGCTGTGGTGTGCTCAGCACTTCTGGAAATCAGGCCATTTCAGAGCATATGTATAACCTCTCGATCCTAGGAAATAACAGTTCGGATCAGACCCGTAGTCTGCCTTTTCTGGTGCCCTGTGCCTCTGGTAGGAAGCAACAGATGTTTCAAACAAACAACAACAGTGCAGTGGGGTTTGACTAACTCGGACAAGCATCAGTACGACAATGTCAGACATGCTGCTAATTTGGTGCCTTTTGTCTGCTGCACTGTGTAAGATGCTTGTAAAGGGTGTTTTGTATCACTGCTCTAGTCCTACTCCGCATAGCAGCAAACAGCTACTACAAGTGCTAGCTACTCGATATGCTCCTGTGTGCTTTGATGATGGCAGTCCTCGGTTCAAATCTGGCTGACAACTGAGGCTACAGGGGGTTGCAGTTGCATGTCACTCCTTTTTTCTTTCTTTTTTTTTTTTTTTGTTCATAAAAAATACAACACACTAACCTTGGTCAATTTTCTAATCAAATACTCATCAGAGCAGGCAATCTGAGCCCAAATTTATCCTCAGCTACACCTTAGAGCCAAGAGGAATCCTTCCATGTATCAGAAGGCAGATTTTTACTCTTAAAATGCAGTTTGCCAATGCAACTGGTAACTTTCTCATGTATTAATTTCTACTAAATGTTTGCCAAACTTGTTTTTTGGTTAACAAATTTAAAAAGTCGAATAAAACTTTAGAGATTCAAACACATGTTGGAGCCTGTATTTTCTCTGCCCATGTCAGTGTTCTGTGAAAGGATGGATTCTCCATGGTCCTTCCACTGATCTCAGCAAAGTGACTTTGGAGTGGGTGTTTATAGTTCCTCATTTGCTTGTCCACAGGGTTGGACTGTTGATAGACACATCAAGTGCCACTTGAGCTTGTTAACCGACAGGACTTGTAATGCAAGTTCAAGAAAGATAAATGGTGAAATGTTATAGTGATTAGCTCTAAAGCAGTGGTTCTCAAACTTTTGTATCAGTGACCCCTTTCAAACAGCAAGCCTGAGTGCGACCCCCCTTATAAATTAAAAAAATATTCTTTTTATATTTAACACTTTTATAAATGCTGGAGGTGAAGCGGGGTTTGGGGTGGAGGCTGACAGCTCGTGACCCCCAGGTAATAATCTCATGACCTCCTGAGGGGTCACGACCCCCAGTTTGAGAACCCCTGCTCGAAAGTAAGATGTTGGCCAGTGTTGATTGTTATGGTCATGGGACTGTGCTCTATATTTGTCTCCTATAGGTACTTATAATGCACCCATTGCCATGGTATCCTAGAGATATTTACTCCATTCGGGCTCAAAAATGCCCGTAGCTCAGCCAGTTTTCAAACACAGAACATTACAACATACTGAAAGTTCCACTAGAAATCCAGGCTATGAAAACTGTAATACTTCAGACTCCAGGCAATTTATTCCCTCCCCTTACTAGGCGTGGAACAGAGCAAATGCTCCATAAAATTGGGCCAACTTTGCACTAAGCACAGAAATGAAGGGAAGCAGAAGTGGTAGTGAGCGCTCCATGTTCCTGCTATTTTATAACTTTGTCAGGAAGTGGTTTTGAAATTTAATCACCTTAAACAAAGGGATACCACTTTTTCCCCTCTTGGTGTGCCATCTATTAGGGCCCAATCCTGCTAGGTCTCCGCACATGGGATTCTTCTGCATCTGGACCAGATTCTCAGCAGGTGTACATGGAGTTAATGCCAGTTTATACCAGCTGAGAACCTGGGCCCTGGAGTGCTTACAGAGCACTGCTAATCAAGGAAAGGTTTCTCTAGCAAAGGACTCTTCTGGATCCAACAAAATGATGCTAAGAACCAGTCATAAGCTTGAGACCTCAGCTGTCTTTAAAAAAAATGGAGTAGGAGTGATCAGGCTCCAATGTTCCAGTTTA